CATCAGTTTGGGGGACCGTGGCTTGAAAAACGTTGAAGACCTCTGCTATAAAGGGTCAATTTGAAGGGACAAAAAGCTGGTGTCTGTATTAGCTGGACAGCACAGAAAAAGGTTAATATGACACCAAACAACCAAGAGAACATCTTTTAACAAACGTTCTTATGTTTATAAATCCGAGCCTCAGACACCTCGCTGGGATCTTAATGTGTTAGGCTGTTTTCTTTAAAAAAAAATATGCATCCACACTCCCACTGCTCCACTTAAAACGGGTCATGTCTGTAAAGAAATGAAACAATAGTTAGGTTGGTCAACGGACCAAACAGCCATGAACGGTTCATCCAGTGACTCGACAGGTCAAGAGAAACATCCATCTCCTTTGCATGACACTGTTCAAATCCCAGTCTCTGGATTCCTGGCATTCCTGCATTAAATCACTATGAGAAGAAGATACTGCCACAGTGTTACAACAGCTGAGAGCATCTAGAAGATGAAACACCCGACAAGGCTCCAAACCCCCCCCAAAAAACATGCCGCTTTTTCCCACGACACCGCAGTCTGGATCATGTGCCATCAGTCTTAATTTGGAGGGGCAGCTCTCTGGCTCACAGTGCGACAAGTGTCCCACAGGTTGGCGAGGGCCTTGATTTACTGTTTGTAGTAAAGTTATTAAAAGGGATTCAAAAACATATATATTGTGAAGAGAGTGAAGAACAGACTTCTGACCTGTGTGCTTCCTCGGTTTTCTCCTCGGTCTCGGTCTTCAGCATCAACAGATGACGCAAGATGGCAGCAATGAGTCGGAAATGGTGATCATCTTCCTAATAAATCAAGGATTTACACATAAACACTTTTTATTCCAATGCAGTTAAATTGTTCACAGGTAAAAAGAAAACGTAAGCTACGACGATGGGGAATAGAAAGCAAACGCTTAACTGCAAAATTTGCGCTACAACCTGTGTGGGAAATGCTTGATGAACATGGGACACCCAATGTCACTATTATTTTTCATGTTCAATATTGGCCATTTATCTTGGCTAAATATTGTGTTGTTTAGAAAAACGTGTGTTACTTTGAGCCACCTGAAAAGAAGTGGTTTGTTTTTACGCTTCCACATCATGATTATTTATGGTTAAAAAATAGGGACTAAGTAGCATCAAGTGTGAAACATATTTCAAAGAGAAGGCATAGTTCATTACTTGTGTACAATTTTGTTAAGTAAGATGTCCTGCATGCATAGATGCATAAAGTAAAAGGAAGCACACGTATCTTGTGTCCGTGTGTCTGACTCCACTGTGTGGATTCTGCTGCGGAGCATATTTGCCTGGGCTTGTTGGAACGATGTCGGCCTGGGATAATGTGTGTGCATAGTGTGTATAGCCTGGTTGATTGCCTTGGCCTACGTCCATAAAATCCTGGAGGTCTATAGTGAGTCTGGATGGGACCCCTGGATTGACAAAGGGAATTTCACACACTGGTAACATCCCGTCGGAGCAAAAACAGGAGAGCTAAGGGATGGGTTGAGATCAAAGCTTTAAATCTAGATTGGAAGTACAGAAGAGGAAGAAGAAATTTGGATTTCTACGGATTCAAAGTGCAGAGTAGGGTCTAACTAAAAACTCAATTTGGTGTCACGAAGACTTACATTGTCAGATGCAGCGCTTGCAGTCATGTCTCCTTCAGTCAAAATTGCATGAAATGTTTTGACAGTAATTTCCAGAAATCAGCCTCAGATACAAACTACTACACGATAACTAAATCATGGATGACATAAATTAGAACCAAATGTAATAGTTGACTTATGCTCTAGAATCCTATTTTAGTAAATATCTTCACGTTTCATTCGTGGATAAGATAATACCACTTTGAGCATGCGTGTAGCCAATGAAAGAGGCATTTTGCCACAGTAGGAAAAGCAAAGGTGTGAATAATATATTCGTTGATGGCAGAGTGCTGATAAACACTTGTTATAGAACACAGAGTTGCAGCAATGAGATGTTCTGTTTGAATTCTCTAAACGCCAAGGCTTCTGTACTATTATTCTCATCTGTCCTTTAGCCAACCGTTGCCTTGCTATAACCTTTACACAAGGAAATGAGATAATGTCGCCCTTGGAGCAACAATTTTTAAAGCAATGCGCATTTCAGAGTTCAAAACATTCCCCATTGTGGTTTAATTCTAAAAAAATCTTATTAAGGAGGTGGGATGCTGTTGATTAATGGCTGATTAATGTGGATAATCAAGATAATAGTGAATCCGTGTCACATTTACACTGAATTCATTATGTTATCGTTAACTGACCGAAAGTCTGAGCGAGAAAGAACGCACACTTAATAATAGAGACGAATAACTAACAAGGAGGAAAAGCAAACCCGGATGACGAGCTCGCGACGTGCGACCTCATCCCACTCACCTCCCCACCGGTGTCAGACAGCGTGAGATTGAACAAGGCTTTGAGCGCCTCCATGGTTCTCTCGTTGTCCTCGGCGGGCATGGCCACGGCCTGCGGATCTGGGCGGGCGCATTCGTAGGGCCCGACCCAGCTCACGCCCAGGGTGTGCTCCAGCACCTCCGTCAGCAGCGCCACGGCGCGCAACTCTCGCCTCAGGACCCCCCTCACGTCGGGTCGCAGCGCGGACACCAGGAAGAGCAGGCGCAGCGTGAAGAGGCCCACCTCGTGGTGCCACGTGCGGGCCGTGCGCAGGGTGGCACAGAGGCCATCCGCCAGCTGCACGTCCACGCTGACCTGCTGAGCGGCGGGGCTGTTGTACACCACGTTGCACAGGCACTTCAGGGCTTCCACCACCACCACCACCCTCTCCTCCTCCTCCTCCTCCTCCGACGGGGCGTCTTCCCGAGAGACAATCCGGTTATCGACGCCGTCCCGCCCAGCTTTCAGCCTCGCCATCCCTCCCAGGATCAGCATGCCCTCCCTGGTGGCCACAGGTGCGAGGACACGCTTGTCTCTGGACAGGATGCGGAGTGTCTCCAGACATGTCTTCTGACAGCCGGGCTTCACCTGCCTCCCGAGAACTGACAACACACTCTGGCACAGCTTCTGGAATTAACAAACGGTAGATGACAACGTGACCGGGCTGTCCTGATCGCGTGATGCGACAGCTGCTCGAATAAACCGATAAACCGATAAACCGATGAACCGCTACTTACGATGCGGAGGGATTCCTCCTTCGGGTCGAAACTGAAGGTGTGGCTATTCTGAAACACACCAGATCCTCATTGTGGACACCGAACAACTCGGACCTTATTGTAAATACACACGAGCCTCTTCAACAAACAAAAAAGGATGTCGTTAGTTCTTAAGTAACCTCCAACAAACAGCTAAAGTGTGCTAACGTCGTGCTAACGTCGCCAAGTGTCAACGTGAAGTAACGTGAGCTTTAGCGCCATCAGCACCAGTGCGTCGTTGTTCTAAAGGACGCATCGAGCGTCTCGTTGACCTCACGTTAAACGGTTGGCGGCGTCGTAGCTTAGTCGGCCGGTAAGACGTTTAACGATTATTTGTTTAGCTAGCCGGCTAGCCAGCTAACGCTAGCGCCGCGGTTTGTTATGGTTGACGCGGAGCCGCGATTTACCTCACGAATATACTGCCGCAGCAACTCCTCGACGTCCTCTTCGCCGACGGTTTCGAGCTGCGACAAGATAACATTCAAATCCATGGTGGATATCGCAGGATTAGAGTTGTTCCCCTGGTCTTGGACGTCGCCAATGGGTGTTAGGCAGCTGTTCCAGCTAGCTGCTAGCAGGCTAGCTTAGTGAGGGCTGCTTCCGTCAACAGGGAACCTCCCCTGAAAGTCTCCATCAGTTCAGGGCGGCTCCTCCTCACTCACCCGGTGTGCAGGGACAGTGTGTACACACGCACGCGCGCACACACACACACAGAATATTTTTTATGTTTTTGGAATTAAGATGATTATTGAAATGTAATCGATCCCTTCACAGAATATTATGCCATGTCCGATCAGAGGTTCGGGTCAAAAGGTCAAAAAGCTTTTGGACAAAGCTTGACGGTATATTCTTTGAGAGTTATGAATATCATGTTCACGCTTGGTGTTACTGCTTCAGTAGTGCCTGTGAAGCATCCCTGTCATTAAATGTGATCAGGATATACGCTGTCTGCAGCACCGTAAATGAACAATCTCTGCGGTTTGAAGCTTAGTCTGTATGTTTTCTCTTATTTGGTGTAATCTATCGATGTAACTATGTCCCTTTTCCTCCTAATAATGTAATAGTTTCACAGTATACTTACAGATACTGTGATTTGTATAACGCTAACCCAAATGGAAAGTTGAAATCAAATTGATAGATAAAGGAAACTTTAAAAAGAAAACCTTTAAGAAATACGCTTCAGTTAAACTCGTTTTAAAGCGCATCAGGAATCAGAAACGTTTATAAAAGAAGCACAAAGGAAGCTACTTGTTGTTTTCATCTGAATACAAAGTCTCTGTCGTGAATCCTGCAGGATTTGGGAGAGGATCTGTTCCAATAAAAACACATCTAGACAGGGGTCAAAGATCAAAGGTTATGGGACTGAGATACAATGACCCCAGCGAACCAAGACATTCTCTCCATTGAAATGTAATTCTTTCTGCAGTGTTGCTCTTGTGCCACCGACCAAACCCCCCACTGAGTTAACACTGCATGGAGAGAAGTAAGTATGAGCCCAAACTACTTTAGAAAAAAGTAAACTGGAGCTATAATAGAAGGTAAATGTGAAGTGTATTTTCAGAAGTAACACATGTCAATAGCTCTCAAGTCAACTTTAAAAGAAATCTACCAAAAAAAAATATTAAAAACTTTAACTATTGGAGCGAAACTTAAATCAATGAGCAGGTTTTGCTGCAGTCCTGACATGGATTATGCATACAAATAATGTGTTTAACTATAAAACTGTTGGACATTGATATTTGGACATATCATGACTAGTGGACCTAAATACAGAAAAAATCAACACAGTTGAAAAAGGAAGACAATGTGACAAAGACTTTAAATTGTCACCACAGACGGTTTCCAGTGCTTTTATTTACAGAAAAGTGACTAGACTTCATGTTACTGTACATTTTGATAATTTCCATTTTTATAAATACCCATAGGGTAATAGGTCCTCAGTAGCTTTGAGTGCATTATAAAACACACAACCCTAGGTTAATGTGTCTTTCACTAACCATACAAAACAGAGAACAAAGTACCAATTGTAACATAGAAAATAAAGGATACACCATGTTACAAAGTTACAGAAAATACATACTATATATTTATATATGTATATATTTATATACATGTATATATGTATATATACATATATAGTCACAGTAAAACAGCAAACAATCTTGCAACAGAATATACACACGCAGTTGTTTTTGAGTCACCGCATTTGATCACTTAAAAAAAACGATCAAGAGGGAGACACCTTCATACCCCGATCAAAGAGTTTAAATCTGTCCTTCGTTTGGTGCCTCTGTAACGCGTGTCCCAAAAGAACTTTAAGGCAGTGCAGTTCATCCACATCCTGCAGCAATCAAAGCCACTGCAGCAGGTTCATGACAAGATGCCGCACGACGCTGAGCGACAAGAGGAGACACGCACTCACTGAGATTGTACTGGTGTCAGTGAAGGCTTGCAGCACACGGATCCCCCCAGTCACTGACAAAACTGAGGGCCGGTGGGACGCTGCGTGTGCTGATTTGTGAGACAGGCGAGGGAAACAGAGGTTTACATTCCATAAAACAAAGGCACAGCTTGGCAGCAGCATTGCACTTCTAAATGATTTTGCTGCAAGTTCATTCTGTCTGATTTGGACTTTTTTTCCTCCAGCGGTGGAAAAAACCCCCATCTATTTTAACGCAAGTTACAGATCATCGGCGAGGCTTTCCAAAGTGTCAGTACGTACATACCATGATTCTTATAACCATGTACTCTCTGTTCCTCTCTGCACCACGTACTCGATTAGAAGCGTTTAGATACTTTGCATCTGCAAGTACGGCAGGCCCGGGGCTTTTACACGGGTGACCATTGTTTATTTTGCCCAGCCCGTGGTGGCCTCTCCGTTGATGTAGGCAAAGCCTGGGAAATGCTGCGAGTGTTCATACTCTGAGTTCCTGCGTGGGCCGAGGGGAGAGTATAGGTCCCCGGAGGTGGCGTAGCGGGACGAATGCATAGGTGGGCTGCTGTAACAGGCGTTCGCTGGTGACACGTCGGGCCACCGGGGGGCGACGGGTGCAGCGTGTAACCGCGGGGTGCTGCTCATCAAGCACGGCTCCATGCGCGACATCTGGCCGTTGAGCTGGTACTGGGGAAGGGGAGAAAAAGAGGAAAGGGGATGCAGCATTTAATTTAGAGTAAAACCGTAACTGACAGTAATTTTACAGCCAATTAACCTGCTGATTATTGTCTCTATCGTGCCTAAAATCACAAAGACAAAGAAAAACATAAAATATCCTGGCATTTAGAGGGCATTGTGTTACATTTTTGGTATTTCTCTTGAAAATTGACATAAACACTTAATCGGTTATCTCAATAATTTTAAAATACATTTACTGTGATGTGACTTGATAGATTAATCAACAAATTTTTTTCTTTAATCTTTCAGTTACCTTAACATACGTCTTCTTTAAATGTTAAGGAAGAAAGGAAATTAATCGCTTTCCCGTTGACAGTTAAGTTGAGGTTCAAAAACACTCTGATCTGTCTGATTAGATATGAGGCTCACTCAGCCGGTTACAAAACCCTCCGTACAAAAAACAGCTTCCACACTTCTGGACAAACGAGATTTAACATGTTAGAGATGCGAGTCAGCAATTTCTCCCACACACCAGCTGTCTTCATGCAAAGCGAAGATATGAGACAGACATGAGTGGTATTAATCTTTAATCAATCAGTTGGCTTTTCTTTAAACTATTCCATTAAAGGGGTAAATGCTGCGAGGAATACAAAAACTTTGACATGCTGATTAGAAAACAGTGTTGAGGGCACTTCTCAATCAGCGTATAAAACAACACCCAGCATGTGCAACTGTTTGAGTGTACTTCTGTAACTCCAGTTTGCAGAACCCAACACGTTCCCTGAACATGCACAGAGGCGCTGACCTCTGTGTACTCACAGCTCTAACAGCATATTTGATACTACGTTAGCCCTGTCGCGCCATATTGTGTGAACTGACCCTGCCGATGGTAATTTCCTGTCTGGGGAAATTGCTTCACATGTTTGACCAAAATGGTCTAAATAGAAAATAAAGTCACTTAGGAAAATCACACATCGGTGGTTGTCCTGTGTTCCTTTTGTTGCCTCTGGTGACTGAAGCCAAACATTTCTGACTAATTCTCCCATCTGTCCCAAAAATATTTTGGACAGATGTGGATCCGACGAGGTTTTGTGTTCGTCTCGGCTCGATCCCCAGACTCCCGCACGGACAAAGTGCCAGCATTGTGCCCGATTTAAGCTCAGACCGGCTTAAAAATAAAGGAGGAAGTACAACCCTATTTCCCTTTCCCTCACTAAATATAAACACAACAGTCGATTCCATTATGAGGGACCACAGCATGGAAAGAGACAGTCAGCGCAGGTCAGAGAGCAGAACAGACGGCTCAGCTGCCTCTTGTTCACAAGCAGAAAAGAGACCATTGAATAACAATATTTTAATAAACGCCTCCCTTGCTCTGTGGCTACTGGCTCAGACAGACGAAGAGACTATCGAGGGCTGGAGAGAGGAGCAACAGAGGCTTCTCTTGGCCCGGGCCGAGCCACCTTTCACAGTCTGCCTCCTGAGAGGGCGATTCGGGGGCTTTTAGAAACACTGCGACTGCTGAGGCCCAGCTGATCTCCTCCTGCTCGAGGCTGGAGGGCCCTTGACAGGAAATTACCATCAGAAGAGTAAACTCACACACATCAGTCGCAACACAAGCTGTGGCATCGGACAATCTCATCCCCGCGAGCCTTTTTTCCTCCAATTTAAACCTTTTTAATCTTTACTTACTTTGCAGCAAAGTTCACCAAAGCGTGCGTCAAGCATTTCACAATCTACATGTACTACATGTTTATGCTCTATTTCTGGGCAGCACATATGCTCCATGTTCTTCTTCCAGTTCTCACAAGATGGACAAACAACACATCTCAGTTGCACACAGCTCTGATGTGGATACATGCAGGTCCAGACACGCAAGCACACATGCATACATGATCAAAATATATGATCTTATAAAACGTTAAGATGAATTGCTGAAACTTAGTCCATGTCTCAATAATAATACTAATATAATATAATATACTAATAATACTATAATATAATACTAATTGAAGTACATTTTGTGATTAATGCTTGCTTGTTTAAACACGCACACTTTCGGATGTAGGACTCCAATTCACTTAATTCATTTCTCCTCCCTGGGACTGACCTGTGCGGACGACCGGTGGTAGGCGGAGTAGTGGAGGGGGGTTGTGATGGCCGGCTCATGGGCCAGACTGGGATACTGGCTCTGGATGGAGTGAGGATGCTGGTTGGCGTAGCTGCCGTAGTTGTAGCTACCAGTGTACCTGGAATAGTAGAAAACCCATTAAAAACTAATTCTGTCATGAAAGAAAACCCAATGCTAACACCACAGCGATAATTACCCATGCTCCTCCCTGTAGACAGGCATCCGGTGGGTGGAGGACGGCGGTGGCACTGGAGCGCTGCTCCTCATACAGGACAGCTGCTGTCCGGCCTCTGGAGCGGAGCCGCCGGCCGTTGTCACTGTGTATGTAAGGGACCAGGTATATGACTGAACAGCGCCTGGTAGACACATATATGGACACAAAGACAATGTGTTGGCTCAAGGGAATCTATGTGCAGTGAGACTTGCGCTCATTCAGGATAGTCCGTGTGACTGGGACGCCCGTCTTACCCGTGGTGGTGGTGGCGGGGACGCCTGCGTACTCCGGGGACACGGCCGCCGTGGGGGAGCCGGCCGAGGAAACGCAAACCGAGTGGACCGACCGGGCGGGAGAGAAGGGCCGTGGGGACGGGGAGGCGGCGGTGGTTTCTGTCACCGGGAATTCCTCCTCTCTCTCCGCTGAAGGTTTAAAGAGAGGACGGGCCGTTAGCCAATCTGACAGAGCAAAATACGCAGTTTTGTTGGACTGAAGTCGTCGTCCCAATATTGGTAACTCCCACCAAGATCTGAACTCTGAATATATTAAGTGTCCTTGTGTTCAGTCAAAAACTAAAGCTTTTCACGTGTTGATCAGCAACAAATCTTCACAATTCCTGAGCTAAAACTGAATGTTTAAAACAAATATCAGTAGGCAACTGTTGGATATTTCCTAATATTTCCTGGTTAGACCTCCATGTGGCAATCTCACCTGTGCTGCCCTCGCTCTTCATGGCCCTCATGAGGTCGTTGGCTCTCTCCTGGCAGTGCAGCGACTCCAGCAGGTAAAGCACATAGTCATCAAACATCAGGTGGATCAGGTGGAAGGAGCCTGCGTACAGAGAAGACAGCATGAGTTGTAACGCAGACAAAGACGACTAAGACGTTTTAACGCAAAAGTGATGACATCACATCCTGCAGACGGGCAGGGGGGCTGCCGTTATCAAAAAGAAGCGAGCGCGCCTGTTTCCGTGTACCCGAATTACTGCCAGAAATACGTCAGCTGACCCCAGGGTCGCACGGAAGATGGGACCCTGGCATGTCACGCAGTGTCACAATTGTGTCATTGTGCGGGTGGCTGCTGCCGCCCTGCGCACAATAAACACTTGTGGCTATTCAAGGGAGCGGGTTGTAACATTGACCGGTTATAAAATGGAAAACACAGGCTTTTGTTAATTAGCTTTGTGCACAGACGTGCTTTATCAAAACACTGACACCAGCTGTGTCTTTGATGTTCACAGGCGGAGAGGAAAGAGAAGACATTTTCTTTTTCTTTCACTTTTACGAGTCAAGTTTTTATAAGTCTCAGTTATTGTAAACCTTGAGGCTGCGCAAAAAATAATCAAAGTTTTCCATTCTCTTTGTTTTAGATATGAGATCCATGCTTTAGAGGCCTCGAGCATTTGGTTGCACTGAACCTTGCAAGTTGCAAGTTTCTAAATGTCCATCAGTGTTCAGTTCTGTGGTGACATGAAAATCAATGACAGATGTATTTGTGAATCCGTCTGAACTGCAGCTCACTAGAATATCTTTAAATGTGACACATCTCTACATTAAGCAGTGCAAAATCCATATTTTGGTTTGATTTCCTTGATTGATTCACTAAGTGTATTATTTATTAATGCTAAGAGCAAATCATTCCTCGTGTTAAAAAAACACTAAATTCTGACTTGTGTGAGCAGGATTTAACAAAAAGTCAGTGTTCAGTTAACTCAGCTATAGCTCAGGAAACAGGCAGGTGTAATAATATATTGTTTAAGATGTGATTTAAAGTATTACTTATTATATTATAATATATTACATTATAATTATAAGTATCCTTTTCTCTCATTATGCATTTATTTAAGGGCCCCACTGGATGGATAATAATAAAAAGCTTCATTTTTAGGTGAAGCAAAGTGCTTTTTTGTTCGCATTATAAGAAGTTTCTATCTGATAAATATTTTACCAATGCAACGTTATCTGTGGAATCAAAATAGTCTGTGTAGTCCCCTTGTCCATGCATGACGCAAAATACAATAAATGACTTTTCCCTAATCCCTATCCTCATGCAGCAACGTCAAAGCTGTGTCCTCGATGGACGGGGACAAAGCATTAGCAGCTCACCGAAGCTGGGCGCGCTGTGGAGGGTCATATCCCGGATGACTCTGGTACCAAAACACGACCACATCAGCAGGAACTGTTGGGCCACCTTCTTCAGGCACCCGGGCCTCTTCCCTGCCACCTAGAGCGAACATTTCCATGTGAAAAGAGGGGGAAGGGTTGAGATGGCGGCGTAGAATTAACCCCCGGGTCCACATTGGGGCTTAACCCTCAGGAGCGAAAAAAACATGTCAACAAGTCAACTATTTAATTTGCCCCCCGAGACACGCCCTCCCATTGAACTATTGTCTGGGCCGTCCAAGACGTTGCCGGGGCAACCGCATTTTACAAGCCCATATCAGGCACATAATGGACGCAAATGGGACGCTTGAAGACATCATTAACTGGGAGGATTGCAACGCAAGTACCGCTGGGTGAGAAAAGACACACAGAGGTGTGTAGCTTTTACAAAACGACTGAACTGCTGCTGCACAAACACTTTCCCTCAGGGCATCAAACATAGAAAATACAAAAACCTTTTCAGAGAAGAATGAACAGAAGCCCGACCAGACATATTTTTCCCCGAAATGAATGGAAAAAGTGAATGCGGCCTGACCTTGACGACGCAGCGGTCCACCATCAGGTCCAGCCACTCGATGTACGCCTCGATTGGCGACTGCTCCTCCAATAGACGATCAAACTCCTGATACACTGCCACGGGAGGGAGAACGCCGGGTTATCATTTCATTCCACGTCGCTTGAAAGCTGAGAACACACGAGTGGCGTCGCGGCGCCTTCTTTCAACGGCGGCCTCCACCTATCGGCGCAGTGAATAGGAGTCGCTCCGCAGGGCGTTTCAGAGGAACGCGAACTCGTTTAACCTCTCGGCCTGTCGCTTTGACTCCGCTGGCCGTGGGAATGTTTGTCCCACGTCGCGTCGTTTTGCGTGGCTGTAAAGTGTAAATCTCTGTCTGCCCGGGTGTGTTTGAGTGGAATCCCGTTTAAAAGGACTTACGGTGGATAATAAGCTGCCGGTGCTCCTCTTGTGAGTCCTCCATGGTGTAAAGTGTCTGCTTGGTGATGCTGTTCAAGTCCACATTCCTCCAGTCCTCCAGCATTTGAAAGGTGATGTCGGCACTGTTTATCACGGTCCGCGAGGCCTGAGGACAGATACATCGGCAATATTACAAGAGCGTCCCCGTGTCCCTTATCGGCTGTGTTTGTTCATATGGAGTTTTATTAAAAACATTGACGCTGAGATAGGCACCTGACAGAGATGATTTAATGACGTTTGCCGCTTTAGAATCTGAGAAAATCTTCTGGACACTGGAAACAAAAAATGAGAATGAATTTGTTTAGTCCTGCGAGTGTCATAATTTAAACATTTTTGTTTGGAAAAAGAAAAGAAGCAAAAAACACAAGATGTAAACTATTACAATGAGATGTGGCATTTTATACATACATACATTCAAATTTGATATTCCTCAGGTTTTCAGGAAGGTCATGAAGTGCTATTTTGAGCCACTCATCCAGCTGTTTGGCAAATTTCCGAATAACCTGAGTCAAACTGTGTGAATGAAAGAAAACAGGAACATAATTAGTATATTGGACAACATATATTGTAAAAGAAAAGAAAACGGTTAGTGTGGGAAGCTGGAACCAGACAATTTATGATGCTTTAGCCCGATTTTGTCAACTAACTGATCATTTCAGTCTTTTGTGTAAATTACAATAAAGGATAGCTATAGGGAAAAAGCACAGCAAAGCCAAAAGGGCCTTAACCGTAGCAGCATAGTTATGTTTGATAAACGTTATTCACTGTACTAAACCATAACGATGAGGCGTTAATGCAGCAGCTCGTGATCTCTGTCGTAATCTCAATGCAACAAACACAGAATGACATCATCAACAAGTCATTTCAGTTACAACAGATAAGAGTCTTCAGAGTGAAGAGCACAGGCGCTCACCTGTCAGGCAGGGCTTGCAGGACGGTGGGCATCAGCACGCCGGAGATGGCCTTGTAGAGGATGGAGTCGCAAACCCCGACTATGTTTACCACGGTGGTGGAGCCGAGCACCGGCAGCATGTGGGGCGGCATGCCCTGCCAGAAGTGCAGCAGGAAGCTTTGGACCTGAAAGTAAGACACGCCGTTCAGTGTTACAGGGAATGAAAGTTATTTCAGACAGCACCAAAGCCATGCAATCCCACTGTGTGTCGGGTAAAAAACTGGAGTTGGATGCTTAACAGGGTCTAAAACAGAAGAAACTTGCCTCATCAAAGTTGGCTCGGATAACAGTGTCCAGTATCCTCTGACAGTGCGTTCTGTACATCATGATGAAGGTCGACACCTGTGGGCAACAACTGAGTATCAATCTAATTGCACCACAAACGTTAACTGTTTTTTTTACTCTTTTGGGGGAGAGAAAAAAAAAAAAAAGTGGGAGAAAAACAAGAGAATAAATCTTGCCCAAAGCATGTGGAGCAATAAATACGTGTTACAGGTCTGGGCAGGAGCGGACTAATACAAAACGAGCTTTAGAGATCAGCAAAACACAAACCGTTTAAAATCACCGCCCCTCTTTAAAAGCCGGACAGCTAGTGCCTTTCCTTTGTCCATCGCTAGATCTTATTATCTCCCCCAAAAGATTAAGAGTTAGTGAAGAGCCAGCGTATAAATCCTCAAGGTCCTTCTCTAAATGCAAACCCAGTGAAGGTCCCGGGCATAAAAGGCTGGAGCCAGAGGGGGCGCAGAGATGGCGGGATGGCAGGGAGAGGGGAAGGGTGGGGGGGGGGGGGGGGGTGTAAGGATGGACTTTCAAAAACTCCTGTTTACCCTCTCTTCTGGCAGGCTGGAGGGCAAATTTAGGTCTTTGACATTTGGAAACTCTGGCAGGAGCGTTCCCAGTTTGGAGCGCGGTGAATACGCCACTGTCTGCTTCGTGACCTCTTTCTTCCCGGTCTCGTTCACCCAGGCCGCCCCCTTTTTGGAGTACATCACATCGTAATACTGGGAGGTCTCCTTCACGGCTATGCCGTAGTAGTGGTACCTGAGGGAAGACATGACGTGTTGTAGGTAGAAAGACATGACACTTTAGCTAAAGAAAAAACGAGAAAACAAAAGCTTGGAACGAACAAAGTAAGAAAAAAAAAAAAAAAAGACATATTTTTCTCTGATTTCTGAAAATGTGGAAGAACATAATAATAATAATCTCATTGACTATGCAGGTCTTCACTAGGAAGAGACTACTATTGACTGTGATGCTTTAAAAACAATTCAAGATTTCTATTAAAACAGGTAAAAAAACAAATATTACACTCAAGATTCCCAGAAAGTCTGAACCACAATGGAATTGATTTATTTGAACTTACGGTCTTTGGTATTTTAATCATGTTTGCTGTTTATAGGTTGTTTTATTTAGTATTCTCTCTGTCTGTCTGTCTGCTGGGGGGATTGAGGGTTTGTAAACATGTGTGCAACGTGCAGCCGGTTTACAAAAGAATAAACCGGACCAACTTACTTAGACTGCCCTCTGGTCCCAAGTCTTCTGGTCGTCAACGCTGGAAACTGCTGCCTTATGATCTGTTGAATGCAGGAGAGAAGACTTCAGTCAGCGTGTGCATGTGCGTGAACGTGTGCATTTTCCAGGATGAGAAAACGGAACAATGCAAAGGTCTCATAGCTGTTTTCACAGGGAGGTCTCTGAGGGGATCCATTTATGACATGCAGGGATATTAGTTTTTAGTCTCCCCTCATCTATCCACCCACCCACCCATCGTCTCTCCTTCTCACTCTCTCTTTTCCCATCTCCTCTCCCTCCTTTCCTCTCTTTTTGTCCAAAGAGATTGGCTCCCTGGTCCAACTCCCGGTGCAGAAACTTTAGCAAACAGTGTAGCTCTCCATTGTGTGGGATGAAAAAAGAGGCCAAGCTGTGAAGTTTCTGTCAGGCCCCCGCTTGATAAATGAGCAGACAGGGAGGCAGTCCGGGCCCTCTCTTGTTTTTTTGTCCTGAATCAATGAAGCCTTCCTAAAGGACACCCCACACTGCTCCAGCCACTGATCTAACATTCCGCAACATCTCACCCTTCCAAATTTCCTTTAATTACACATTAATCCAGGCCCCTTTTTCTTTTTGATTATCTTACCGACGGGAGCTGCGAACGGAGGGAGGCGGACCGGGTTTGGGGGTCGGGGTTTGGGGCCGGAGTCCGGGGGTACAGGGGATGGCTGGGGGTGGGAAGGCTGAGGAACCTCTCGGGGTTGTGGGAACAGACGAAAGCACATCTCCTTTGGCTCTAAATTACGTGTTCAGTGAACGGCCGCAGAGCTTTGCTCGCTTCACACTGAGCTGCAGTTGAAATTACTTCAACAGCCCAAAAAAAAGAGACAACCCGGGCATGAAATGGTCAGACTAATTCGGGTTTAGTGGACGGGGGTTTTATTGCTTTTCAGTCAATATCCACGTGTGCCGTCTTCCGTTGAGTCATTTTGTTTTAGTTGCTCCAAACTCACCTGTCTGCATGGAGGTACATCTAAACTCTAAAGACTCCGCGTGGAGTTCACGGCTTGCACGGGTTTAAAAAAAGATAAATAAAAGGTTTTGTGTTGAACTGGATTCTGAAGGAAACAATAAGTTGCCAGACCTTCTTTTTCGATGATTTTCAATGATTTTAAGAATCTTACCTTTCCGAAGCTGGCTGCGTTCACAGGCTGCGTGTCCTGTTTCTCACTGAAGTCTAGGTAATGCATGTAGAGGGCACTTCGCGGAATACACACACCCTCAGCTATCTCATAGTTCTCCTCTAGCCTGTCAATAAGAATGGGAATTATCAGCGCAAAGTAAATCTAACATGGTTCTGACTTGTCTGGTCAAAACAAATGTGAAAAAAAAACAGTAATTTAGTCAATTTAGTTTATTTTTAGGAAGCAAGATTCCAGCTTAAATTAATGGATGTAGTGAAAGTTTTTTTGATCACATTAAATCATATTTACTTTACATATGAGGTAAAGTATCATTCAATAAGTTTAAAGCAGCAAACAACTTTACACTTTATGTGTGTCGTAGTCTCAAAGACCATTTTCCTGATTATAGTAAGTGATCCTGTCTAATTAACAGCTGTACGGTAAAAATGATAAGAAATTATACGCAATCACAAAATGATATTTGATGGAGGGGCAGTTGTTGCAGTTGTCTGGAATGTGTGTCACCACTTGGGCACCAAACACTCCACATAGCTGCATTTTTGAGTAATTTTCCCAAGATAAGTGGATGCATTTCATTACAGTTTTACATTGATTCAATTTGTTTATCTTTTGATCTGTTTTCAGTCAGTGTATATAAAGGGTTGCGTTGGTTTTAGTAATGAATGTGAATGAAAGCCCAAGAGAAACGGTTTCCGATACACATCATGTCATGTTGCATATTAATCTGCACTGAAATATTAGATTAGAAATGTGTGCACAAATAATTATATTTAATACAACCATTGAATCAAAGTAGTCCCCGTGTCTAATGCATCAGTCAGCGTCTCTGAAAGCCATTTAGCCGTGCTGCATTAGCTGTAATCATCGGTTCATCTCGTATCCGTCCAACAGATCCCTGTTTCTGCTTGAACTGTCTCCTCCGCTCACAACTTTCTATTATGTGGAGTTCACCCGCGGTCTATTCTGAGTCACGATTTGTTTTGTTTTTAAAGCATGTGACAGCTATTCACTGTTTTCCTAATGTTTGGAACAACTCACTATAAATCACTGATGAATCAGCAGATAAACCGTCACGTGCAGCTCGTACCGGGTCACTTCTCTGACGGTCTGAACAGACAACTGGTGTTTGATTGCGCAACAGATGGATTATGAACCAGAATGGAGGAAGGAATAGGAAACACATCCCCAAGGTGAGGGAATGTCTCCCCTCCCTAAGTAAGATGATGTCTGAACTATATTCCTGAAATAACAATTTCCATTTCTTTTTTAGAAATATAACAGCCTTTCAACTTTATTTTGAAATAACTGCATTTAGAAGGCTGGATAGTTCACTAAACTAAAAAGCTAATTCCAGCACAATCTCTGAAAATTTAAATTCAAATCATGGCCAAACAGTCATGTGACCAAATGTATTCTCCCTGGTTCAACAAATAAAACCTAGATGCTCAATCAAAAACTCATAATTGTGGTTACTTTTAGAGTTGCGTACATTTGTTGCAGATTTCACTAGAATGGAAAAAAATCATTCATGTTTGTAATACTTTACTCTGTACTCTATAATACTGTTCCTCACACTGGGTTTCACCCCCCACAGCGCAGCTTAAATCGGTATAAATATTCATTTAAGATCATGCTGAAGGCTATTACGTAAATGGGGTCATGCGGCTGTGCAATAGGAGGCCACTTTTTAACTACAGGCATGTGTGGGGTTTCCATTTGATGCACACGGAGGATATGAAAGATCTGTTGCATGTCGAAGCGGCACCACGTTTTAAATCTGTCTGTGTTCGATGTCTCTATTGTTCAACAGCTGTGTGCCGTTCAAATCACAGTCCCCCCGGGAGGACGAATAAAACATCAAATCAGTTTGTCACGGTCAGATGCAAGCCTGCAATCTCAAATAAACACCAATAGGATCCCGCAACTGATGAGGTAAGACGAGAAATGTAGCCAGCGTGTAGAGAACCAGAGTCTCATGTGTGCGTTTCACAGAAAATGATTCAAACAAATGTATTTTCAAGTCAAATAAAAAATATATATACATACTGTACGTACACGAAAATCAATAATTGAATACAAAGTAGAAAAAAATGTAAATTAATTAAAGTGACAGGATTCATATGAACTATTATTCACCATACCCGCAAAGTAAATCGTAGACTTGATTATTCAGGTTTAAGGTTCCACACTTTAACAAAATCCGCAATGCTCGCATTTGATTGGACTAAAGAAAAATACAATATAGAAATGTGTTTTAGATAACTTACCATTCCAGAGTAGCCGGTGTCGAATGTGGTTTTGAGGCTCTGTTGTTTTCTTTTTCTTCATCTGTAACATACAACACATTTTGGATTTTAGGGGCAAAAAGTCCCAAAGTCTAACAGGTTTATTTAACGGACAAAACATAAACCTTTTGAAAAACTGTCCCCATTAAATGACATTAATTGAACTGAAGGCATTAGCTGTAAGACTGATACATGATTTTGAACAACGGTGAAGTCAGAAGGTTTGGTGCCTGCTTACGTTCATCGTTGGACATGTTCCCCAGAGACGTGTGACTGGAATACCGCTTGCTCTCACTCTCGTTGAGGCATCTCTCAATCCAACTCTCTAAAAACGACACGATGGACCACAGATCACACAGCTGGACAAACTGTAATATGAAGCCTTTTAGTACAACTCAGAAAAATGACCTTTTTGTAATTCTTAAGTTATTATAATATTTTAAATATGGTCAAAAGAAGATGATTTTTCAAAAATGTAACTGTGGGACTTTTAAGTGTCCTTCAGCTGAAGCATCACTTTTTAGCATTTTGGGTCTATTTCTTTGTATTCATTTTCATGGAAACATAGACTTATAATTCCAAAACTCACTCTCTAATTGAGTGGACTTAATTTGTTGTGCAGAACAAAACAGCTGAAGCTTTATTTACATGAACATTGAAAAGCACTGGCTGTACAGGACACTTTAAATGTCACGAATGTGACGAGGCGAGCTGACCACAATGGGTTGTATGGGCAGCGATGCAGCCTTTGCTCTATTTGAGATGTTTTCACCAGGACGGCAGGAATCCAGCATTGTTCCCAGGAGACTACGAGCATACACACTCGCTTAAAAGAGCCTGTGCACATCACTGAAGCATTCTGGTGGAATAGAGGCCATTGTCCTGCTTTAATTTCCACTTAGAAATGGCTCAACATGTGTGCTTTCTGTGACCGAGCTGCAGCAAAACACCAAAGCTTTCATGTAGAAACAGCCTGATAAGTAGGGTGGATATCCATTTAAAATTCCTTTATTTCTGACAAGAAAGCGATTTACTATTAGACAAGTCTAATAAAGGAATGACCAAATATTCATCTTGTTCCTTTCAATTAATAATAAGCTACATCTTCTTTGCAAGCCACTGAATGTCCCAGTCAGAACAATGAAATAAAAAGTAAAATGTGTTTCATCATCCTTACATCTGTTGAATGAAGACTTTATGAACCTGAAATACAAATGAGCAGTCAATACCACCTTCGAAGATTACACAGCACTATGGTAAAAGTTACTTTTAACAATGTCAACTTTTAACTAAATATTTATTTTCTCCTTTTCCTTTCTCAATGTGAACCGACAACAATCCCCGTAGCAGCTGTTGCTTTATGTCAGACTGCCGGCAGGACGACCTGTTGGTGAAGCCCACGCGGGGATTGAGAGCAGTTCACACATAGTGAAAAGTTCTAAAAGTCTACAGGCGATGAGGAATCTGCACCTCGATATTCGTCACGTGTCGATGGACAACGACCGGACTGCAGTCAAGAGTCCCAACGTCGCTGCGCAAACTCACGGCCCACTGAGCCCACTGACGTGAGAGGGGTTTCTTTCTACAGAATATATTAGTTGAGGCTCTTTAATGGTGTCAATTGCTGTGGACATATGATTCTCATCACCTTTAATATTGCCAACTGATTAATAATACATGTCAATTAAAATGCTGGGAATATCTATATATATATATACAAAAAATCCTGTAAATTTGAATTTTTAACTCTGAATACCGGTGTCACTGACTTCACTATTACTACTGACTCATTATTTACTGACAACATTTGCTTCTGTCTAACTAAAAGTTAAAAAAAAATGTATAGGAAAGGGTGAATCCACTGGAGTGAAGCTGATTCTCCACAGAGGCTCAGCTCTCAAGCTTCATTTGCCACAGAACAAATATGTTGGGGATCTAAATAATTGGATTAAATTTGATCAACACTCATTTATTCACACACATGCAGGGTTAAACTAGTCTGCAATGGTGCACCGGCATACTGTGAATAAATCATTTAAAATCATTTCACAAATTAAGAAATTCAGATTAAAAAAAAAAAAAAACCTTGTTTAACTTTAACTCTTTAACTAACTCTTAATTAGATTTAACCTCAACCGCTCATGTTTCGGAAACCCAAATAATACAGATACGTTTGCCAGATTAAATAGATAAATCCAGTGTTTTATAATCCCTTACTAATCATTTACTAATTCTCAGTAAACATCAGTTTTGAAGTTGAATAAAACCTTTTCCAATTCTGGACTAATAAACAGAAAAGTGAGTTGAGAGCAGATGCATGCTTTAAACATGATGCACACGTTTTTTTAACCCTTCTCTCATTAACGTAATTCCAGAATTTTACAATGAATCTTTCTGAAAACAGCAAGAAGCCACCTGACCAGACCAATCACGGAAACATTTGAGGGCTATTTCCCTGGCGTACTGTTACTTTTCTTGAATCCGTCAATAAGTTACACACTTATGACACAACAGCACTGCGCACAAATGTGGATGCCCAAAAACTTCAGAATTAAAATTAAAAAATAATAAATGATCACGTCTATTAAAAAAAATTGCCGAGCATCCAGACACGTCCTCTGCATGACTGAAGAGAAACTTGTCTTCTTCCAGAGCAGCAGCAGAATCAGAAGCTGAACAGAAGCAGGTTTTCTCAACACAAAGCAAAGCGAGCGGAGATTAACAGGACTGACCTGTGGAATCCATATCAGGCTCCTCCAGCAGCCCGCAATGCATCCTCTTCCCATCAACGGCACTGGTTCCCCCAAGAAAATGGCTCAGTGCACGTTTCCCCCTCCTCGCTGGCTCGCTCAGTGTTTCCGTGTCCACTGCCCGTCACAGGAGATGTTGAGGATCTGAGGTTCGCCCAGAGAGGGGTGGTGTTGGTGGAGGAGAAAGGGGGGGGGGGGAGGTGGGAATAAGGGAGGAAAGAGGGGGTGGTGGGTTGTAGGGGGAGGTGGGGGGGGGAGGGGGGGTGGTAGAGACTCCAGAAATCCAGCGGGGGGAAAGCCAGACCCGTCAAAATGTTTGCTGATGTTTCATGGGAAAGGGGCTGATTTTATAGGAGCCCTGATGGGGACATGTCATTGATAGGCTTGGAAGGCTGATGAATGGCCCCAAGTCAGATGGGGATGTGGCAAGGCTCACTGGAAGTCTTTTGTGGGGCTGTTTTGAATAAGAAAAGCTCCCTCCAAACGAGAAAAAAAAAGAAAAAAGAAAAAAAAAAAGAGGCTTAGATCTACGGAGTCCTAACACTGTGGCCTCCCCGTCTTCCATTATGGCATTTAATACGTTTTTATACACCCCAGAGCTCCATATAAACATACATCCCCACACCACCACCACTCCTGCCCGTTGCTTCTCATTTTAACTCCCGTTTCATATCCCAGGGACACTTGTTGCCCCACTTGGCCACTTATCACCTCACTCCACCGCTGAGGCATCTTTGCGGTAACTTTGTCGCCGGTTGGACACATCGTGCAGCCGGACACGCATTCATACATGCCTACAAAAAAAAGTGCACCCGTGTGGATGCTTTTTGCTGGATTTCTCACCTGTTTTTTCCGCTCACTCTTTTCGTTGTGGCAACCCTATTTTTGGTGTGCCTCTGAGAAGAGGGAACGGTCACAAAGGGGGGGAAGTAAAAGTGCAAAGCCCCGAGGCTGGGAGGGCTCTGATGGAGTGCCTGAGAGCTGGAGAAGCGAAAGCTGTGATTAGAATATGAATGGAACCACAGGAGAAGGGGGAGAGAAGAAGGGGAAGAAGAGGGGAGAAGAGAAAGGCGGATTATGGCTGAATTACTCACCACACCATGGATAGCGGAGGAGGACTTTCTCCACCAGCGCGCAGGTCGTGGGCAGCACCGCTACTCCTCCTGACCGGCCGGCACCGTGCAGATACCTGGGAGCAAGTACGGGGGGGGGGCAGCATCACGTAGCAAACCGTGCACGGGGGCCACGCTTTGTTAGAGCAGGTCTGTGCAATAAAGAAGCTGCTGTGATGAATGGAAGGTCAAAAGGAATTTGAGAATATTTTTTAAAAAAAGGAAATAAAATGACCAAGACTCATAACGTCTTTCATAACATTTTCGCTCATCTGCCTCTTAATGCGTGAGATTAAACAAGAGATATACTTTAACACACATTAATGACACAACACTGCATCAAGACCTGCGTGGTGGCTGCTGAAAAAAGCCATGGCCTCATAAGGAGGACGTAATTAATTGCAGTCAGAGAAGGAGAAGGTGGAGTCTGTATCTCCCTCAGTGGATGACATCCTTTTTTTTCACCCTGTTATCTGCTTATTAGAGCCTCATGAAACAGGACAGGTGCAGCCACCAAAAGAGCCTCTTCCACCCGTCCTATTCTCACAGAATCTGTCTGCACAAACGGATGTGTACCGCTTTTGTTCAGTGAAAAGGCCCCAATTGAGTTGTGTGTGTGTGTGTGGGGGTGGGGGGTATGCTTACACTGCATACGGCACGTTGGTGGTATCGAGGCTTCGGTTTAAAAGGAAGGAAACCGTATGACTCAAAAGAGACTTTCTCTCCATGACTGTGTCACTGCACATTTCCATTTGTCCTCACTGAGCATCCTGCTGCCTCCCCCTCACATTTAATAAAGGGTTCATCTTCTATTAAACCATGTAAATACAAACAAACATTTATACTAATGGTTTAATGAGCCTCCAATTAAGTTTCTAAACGGATTCATCTGGAAGCAAACATGTGGAAACATTTTACCCGATGGGTTTAATATGAGCTGGCTGATAATTCAGTGTTACTACTGGAGAATCGTGTCCTGGTGTTGGTATTTAATGGCATTTCCAGCCGTAAAATAGACCAACTGCAGTGGTTAGCTCTTGGAGAATTTTGAAAATTACTGAGTAATTGACTTGTTTTAGCTTCTTAAGCGGTTTTCGTTGTCTTCGTTCAGACAGCCATCTTTCAAAATGTCCTGATATTTGTATTTAACCAATTATGAATGCATTAAATCACGAAGATACTCAAAATATGAAATCAATGAAAATTAGTATTTGTTTGTGGCCTAATACTAACAATAATAATCAAGTATTTGTAGTTTATTTTGTAATTTATGTAGTGAATTATAGAGGAACATATTCATTCTATTTACTCACTAGATTGTTACATTTGATCATTAATATTAGAAACATTTTTTTATGAATGTGGTGTTTTCTCACCATTATCAGACCTTTAAATATTAAGGCAAATTGATATTTTCTTAAAATGTTTCATCAGCACATAAATTACATCTTAACTACAAGAAGAGTTTATAATCTTGCGACAATGTTTTAAACACATTTCTTTACTTTTGGGCCATTTTGAAGAGAAGCAGACGGGAAGGAACATGCAAGTTCTGCAGCTTTTTCAATATTTGTAGATTGACATGAAATAAATTAGCAGTAGTTAAGTAACCAAATAGCAGCACACACAGCAGCTGATTGTGAAACTTTTTTTAGTTTATTATGTACACATAGAAAAAACAATGGTGAGAAAGTATGAACACAAATGAGAACCGTCACATGGTCTTAGTTTGCAAACACCAACAAAAATGTAAACGCAGGATTTAACCGGTTCCCTCTTCATTCACAGCTCTAAACACTGTGAAAGCTTAAATCTCTACCTCTGAACCTTTCACTCACACAGACATGCGTTCGTGTCCCTGCCGGCTCAGTCGTTGTAGCGCGACAGTTTGAGTCGGGGGATGATGTTCATGGACTGCAGCTCCTGGAACAGCAGCTTGCAGGCGTACGGGATCCGCAGCGAGGAAACGTGACAGGAAGACTTGCAGTAGTGACACCTGGAAGATTGAAAACTGAGAATCAGACTGTGGACAAAGGAGAGGACGACCCGCCGAACCTCCATAAGAACTGAGGACTGTTATAGATTCAATTTGTAACCCTTACTGCAATCATATTAAACAAAACCTGACAAACCCTCGCAATGCCTCAGCAGACCTCGGTTATCCTACGCGTCGGCACCCAGGGGAAACCGATCTGCGGCGTCCAACTTACCAGCCGGAGTATCCCAGGAGGCCGCACTGGCCGCACACGTCCACCTCAAAGGCGTCACTGGAGATCATGAGGCGCTCCAGAAGCAACATGCTCGCTCCGTAGCCAATCAGGCAGTCGCGCTCCATCTCGCCCAGACGCAGGCCTCCGTCTCTGGAGCGGCCCTCCGTAGGCTGCCTGAGGACGACGGGATGCGAAGTGATGAGGCCAGAGTAAAAGTAGTGATTTCGTTATTTCCACGTGATTACAACTGGGGACGTTGATTTCTACCTGGTGAGAACGGCTCTGGGGCCTCGGGCTCTGGCGTGCATTTTGTCGAGCACCATGTGCTTCAACTTCTGATAATACACCGGTCCAAAGTAGATATAAGCCTCCAGAGGTTCCCTGAGGGGGAAAAAATGTATATTTAGTCAATTCAATAACACGCATCTGTCTATTATCAGGTAAAAACATGGTGGTGGTGGTTGCAAATCAGGTGGTGATGGTTGCAAATCAGACATTTGTGGGGATTGCTGGTCCGCCTGTTTGAATCGGCGTTTGTCACTTTTCTTCATCTCTACACGAAAGGCGATTTCTTTATTAATAAAAGTTGCACTCTTGTCATGTTGTAATGGAAGAGTGAGCAGACGTTTCTTTAAAATCACCAAGAAAGGTATTGAAAAAAGCCGCGTAGAAAGCAGCTGGGAGGGTGAGTGTGTTTACTGGGACGACACGTTGAGCTCTTTATTACCCGGTGATTCCCGAGGTGACGTAGTCTTTGCCCTGGTAGTTGTATCCATAGCGGATGAGATCCTCGCACACGTCCTTCACCTTGCTGCCTCCGAACGCCGTACCGTAGTGAAACCGTCCATCCAGGACTCCGGCTTTCCCGGCCAGCAGCTCGATCAATTTCCCCACCTGGCAGAATCACAGACATCGGCTTTGTTCAGAACATACAGCTTTTGTGTTTTACATTCTCCCGCCACCAGATGTTGATATCGCGGGGTAAGAGTAGATTACACATGTACCCCACGGCTTGGGACCGGCGGTCTAAGGATGACTGATTTCAACAATTCCTCGGCGGTCCCACCCAGAGGACCCCTGACCCCACCACATAAAAGGAAACACCTACTCTCATTTCACTCTGCGGCCACAGAGACATCTTCCCGAGCCAACATTTCTCAGTCTTTCCCATGGCAACCACAGCGCGCAAACACACACACACGGGCACTGACAACTTCAGCAGTAAAGATCAGTTTTTACAGTGTAAGGGACAAAAAGCCGGTGGAAACGGGGGCCAAGTTCCATGTCATTCACATTCAGCACCATCCTGCCGTTGAAATACGCCGCGCATGTTTGATAAAACTTGCACACACTGCGACAGGCGGCGGCGTCACCGGCAGCCGTCTCCACAGCAACAGATATCTGTTTGTGAACAGTGAGATTGCCGCTTAGCCGGCGTGAATGGACGTGTGCTCTGGAAGCCAACGATAACCCCGGAGAGGAGCGGAGCGGGAATAATGACGCTTTGGCTCCAGAACAGAGTTCTGAAGAGCAACGGGCAAATGATAGAAAACAAATCTACAACCGAATTATTCATTTCAGTCGCTTTTTAAACAGTAATACAGAAGATTAACTGGTTCCAGCAGCTGAAATGCTGCTTTTTTTTGTCATGAAAGTGAATTTAATTTTGATTTTATGTCAGACAAAAAAAATTACTTCTGCAGACGTCACCTGGGACTGTGCGTAAATACAACAGAATCAATAATCTTTAGTAGCAGCCCTAATTTGATTGAGACAATTAAAAAAAATAGGTACCGTCATTCTGGAGGGATATCCGTGAGGGTTCATGATAATGTCGGGACAGATGCCCGTGTCGCAGAACGGCATGTCCTCCTGCGGGACTATGAGGCCACAAACACCTGTTACACACAGAGAAAAACAGCACAATATGTTGAAGTCATTCATCACAAGTTGCTCATTTCAGCTCCCTACATGGCGATCGGATTCTATTCTGCATTTAATAACAGTGTAAATAACTTTGGCCGATTAGTAATTAGACAAAACGAGCCATTTTGAGCTCTCAGAACATCATTAAAACTTAAAATGATGAATCTGAAAAGTACTAAATACAAAAATCACAAATGTAATGGTTTGTTTCACGTCGTGAAATCCCCAAAACGGACCAAACAGAACCAAGTACGAACAGCAGCTTGTAGGTAAACGCACTGTGGACCTCTGACAGAATGACATTTCCCTCCTCTCATGCGGCCCGACAGGCTCGTCTTTTGATTCACATGACGTGGGGGGACGAGCGCTCTGGTAGCCAGGAGTTTAAGTGCGAGGGCAAATGTTTGCCGAGGGGGCCGAAGCACTCTTCCCAGGCCACGGTCAACAGATCGAGGGCCCATTTGCAAATGTAAAAAAGAAAAAGAAAAAAAAAAGGAGGCAAGAGAAGGAGAGCAGGAAGTGCAGAAAGGTGCTTGGCTTGACAAGGAGACCAGGATTACACCTCCGTGACTTTCGGTTTAGCTCCGAGGAAGTGGAGGGGGGGGGGGTCTACTGGGAGAGGAGAAATTGAATCTGAATCTGTGCACGTGGGAAAAATACACGATTAGCCGACCATTCATTGCCATTGTCGATGCCACGCAGGATGTAGTCGCAGGATGTTGACTGGGAACAAGTACAGCAATTTGTTGGAAAGTCATCTAAAGAGCAGGAAGAAGGTGAAAAGAGAACAAGAAAAAGGCGAGAACGGCTGAGCCAGAAAAAAAAAAAGAAAGGTAAAAGCGGAAAATAAAAAAAAGTCAAAAGAAAAGTTGGGGATATCAGTGTAAAAGTAGGATTAAAGAGGGAAAAAGAGCAACAAGAACCACAGTAGAAAATGGAGGAGAAGGTGATTAGAAAGATTCAGAGAGAGGGACCCTAGTTCCCATAGCAGACATCCTCGGTGTTGTTTGTTTTGTGTGAAAGTGAATGATAAAAGAGGCATGAAATCAGGAGAGAAAGGCAAGACAACAGCAAGGGTCCAGAGCCCTCCATCACAGCTCATACAGCCCCACGCTGGCGGCTCGCACAATGGGCCCCTACTACTGACAACCCCGCCACCTCCTCCCCCACCTCCACAGCTGTGTGTGTGTGTGTAAATAATTAACTTATTCTGCTCTGGTGAGCAGGACTTATGAGACTAGTCATGAGTAGCTGTGAGATCTATTGCTGCAGCCAAATCCTAATAAAGTAACAAATCCCAGATTTATGATTCCGCTTGAAACATTTATGCGGTTAATTCTATGTTCAAACACCATTTCCCTGCAGCAGGAGAAACAAGTTTCCCCGAACGTTTCTCAATTCTAAAAGGTGTCCGTAAACCGCTCAGCCACGAGTGGCCCGACCAGCCGAACATCAGTTGCACATCTGGGAGTTTCCATCCAGCTCTGCAGCGTAACCCCGCGGCGACCCCTCTCTCTTGGTCACTATTGGAGACAGAAGACCCTGTCCCACCCCGAGCTGACCGCCCACTGGCCGCTGCGTTAATGAGGAGAGTAAATTATGCATGGCGCCAGTTAGCTTTTTGATTAAAACATCATACAAGCCCCCAATAGGGGAGGTGCTGCAAAACAATGGCGGTTGTAAACACTTTTCCTGCAGCAGCAGCAGCAGAATACTGCTGGGGTGTAATAAATTTGCATAGTCTGGCACAGGACAAAGAGCCAATTAATTGAAAAGAGCTCTTGAAAGATGAGGACAGGGGGGCAGTGACAGAGCAACAGCTACTGGGACTTGACTCAACAAATGCTGTGGTAAAGAGACGACCATGGTCCCCCCCCCAGTCATTTACAATCTCTGGTGACAGTT